ATTAATAGTGCCATGGCCCTTGTCCCCAGGGAGGATAGGGAGACAGGAGAGGGTATAAAATAAGCCCATCCACCCACCCATGCACACACAAGATATGCAGGAACCTTATAAAGGTTGTGGGAGACAAACTTGCAAAGACATAGACACACATTGCCTGTTAGAGGGTGCATGAGGGGGAGCTTCACCTCCATAATGCCAGCTTACAAACAAATGACATCCATCATCTGGGTGAACAAATGAGGGAATGAAAACACAAGGGCGAAGGTGGAAAGAAAATACATTTCAAGTGAATACAAGAGGTTCAACCATGCAGTTGGAAGAAAATCAAAGGAAAGAATTGATTTAAGAGCAGTACAGTATGTGTACTGTACACCCTTTAGGGTCAAGGAGAGAGTTGGTCTATTCCACAGCTGGGCCCAGTGGCCAGTCACTTGCTCAACAGCAACCTTAAGCTGGAAACATTACACATTACATTCACGGCCCCATGGACCACTTCTGGTGTTGGGTTGTGCTCTGTCCTCCAAGTCCTGGGCCAGGGCATGTCCATCCTGGCAGGTGAATGTGACATCTGGTTGAATGGCAGAAAAGATGCCAGGGTTTGGCCCAGCTCAACTGTACTTCATTGTTTGTTAAATGATTGAGTAGACATTACTGAACAGATAGCATTTCCCATGTCAGATGGAAGAATTTTCAAACTCTTCATATACCCAAAAATGCTACATTTAGAATTACCTGGTCAACGAATTGGGGTCCAGGTAGGTTTAACGAGTCTCTAAGAGATTAGAGGGTTAATGTCTAGATTTTATATAATGCACCAATTATTCAAGTGAAGGAAAGAGTCAAAAGAATTTTCAAGAGCGGTGTGCTTACGTGGTGGAAGAAAACAGACATGGGAAGAGTTTGCATAACATTCAGATGTATTTGTGAGTGAAGTATGGAAAAATGCCAGTTCTACATGTGCTTTATTTTTTTCTACCCCCTCTAAATTTCAGCTAAGAAAACATAGATGGCTAGGACAAGATGTGCAAAAGAGCTGACTTTGCTTCCTGCTTTGCATGTGTCTGGGCTCTGTAGCTGTGCTCTGGGGGTTTGACTCACGCTGGGAAAGAGGAGGCAGCAGGACTGAGAGCACAGGATAGGTGGGGGCTATTCACGTCACTGAGGCCTGGGGAGCCACAAGTCCCACACACAAACCTTCTGAGGTCTGAGCTCTAGACATAATTATCTGTTTTCTTGACAATTTAAAATATGTCATTGATGTTTTAAAATATACCATTTCCACCAGACTATCTCTTGCTAGTTTCCCAAATTAACACAAGTTAATGCTACATTTAGTATTACCAATTACGATGTAATTACCAATTACATTGTTAATTACCAAATTAACACAGTTAATTTGGGCTTTCCTATTGAATATCAAACAATTCTGTGATTCTTTAAATGGAGAGACTGTGAGCACTTGAATAGCTGACTACTCTGCCTGGATTAAGCCAGTACCTCCAAGTAGGAGACCTACCTACTGTTGATTTGGACATATAAGGTACACATGAGGGACAGCAAAGCAAATTGTTAGTGCTCAAATCTCCATGCACACAGGCTAGGATTTCTGCTTTGTTTTCCTCATCCCCTTCCTCTCAGGTCTTACCCATCCTCTTTCTGTAACTATAAAGGGCTCAAATGGGTATTGTCCTCTCTCTATCTATGCACAGGTCTCACACTGTCCTTAGCATTTAGCACAGACCCTGGCACACAGTATTGTTATGTGTGTGGACTGGATGTGTATATGAGACTCCAAGGCTGCAGGCTTTAGACTGGGTTCATCATCATCCATACCCTAGGCTACCATTTTTTTAGTACTCAGAAAGGGACACTCCATCAAAAATCCTGGGAACTTCTTTATCTGGAAACAGTGTCCATGTGGGTACCTGGGAGAAAATCTAAGTCCTCTCTCCTCAAGGAACAAGTGGCCATGGAAGCAACTCTGAGGGAAGAATATGTCGTCAAGCAAATTTAGACTTGTGTGTGAAATGAAATCTGTGGATGAACCAAGTTATGTTGGCTGGCTGGAAGCAATACAGAGCTGGCAGAGGACACACAGCAGCCCCTCTTCCAACATCTCCATCTCATAGCTGAGGAAACCACTGCCCAAACTCACATAGATAATGAGTGTAGGGTAAAGAAAATATCAGGCTTTTCTGCCCTTCCGCCATCAGGATAGATGATGGATCCTTGTCCTGAATGCATGCCTGATGGTGGGCACCTGGAATAGGGTGTGGGCATAGGTAGATGGGATTCAGCTGAGCTAAGACTGTGCTTTTAAGGGCGGCGTCACGGGGGACGCCAGCAGCACCAGCACCAGCAGCAGCAGCAGCCGCCGCAGCCGAAGCCGAAGCCGAGAAGCAGCAGAACGAACGCTAGAGAGCCCAGATAGAGTGAGGACTTGCTGGGGGCTGGGAGGCCTGCCAGCCTCCCAGCCCCCAGCCAGCACCCCTGCCTGCCATATGCCTGGTGAACCCCAAATAAAAAACCTGCAAAACTACTGAGGACTCTGACTCCTCCTTTACCCGATCTGCATGGGATCAGAAAACCTGCCTTGTGCCCTGTCCTGCCCCTTACAATTGGCGTATGTCGGCAAGATCCATGCAGACGGGTATTGGAGCCCTCCGAAGACCTGGAGGGACTAAGGAGAACAGACTTTGCCTGTGACGACGCTGGAGGCACCATGGCGGTATAGAAGATGGATACGTCCACGAGCTACAGGATGAGACCTGGCGTGAAGGAGACGCCCGAAAGGACCAGCCAATGACACCGGATAGGACCAGCCAACGACACCGGAAAGGACCAGCCAATGACCCCTGAGGCAGCAGGCCATTGCTGAAGCAGGGAGAGGCCAATGGACTGATAGACTGATGAACTGATGATTTTGGACTGACAATCCCGCCAGAAGGCGGAGGACCTTAGCAGGTTATGTTTATTTTTTGAGAATCTGGGGGTGGCCAGTGGGCCTAGATGGCCAAAAGCAGCCTGTGTATGCCCAGTGGCCAGGTGGAGGAGAAAAGCCAACTAAGGTGGCAAAAGCTGGTACTGATGCTAAGTTGAGAAGCCCTAAAGCGGCTGTTAAGCAGCCTGGGTATGCTGAAGCCCTGTGAGTCTCGTAAAATCACCTATGGGTGATGCCCTGCTCATTCTTGAGTGAGGGTGAGGAGCTGAGGAGCCCGTCCTTGGGGGACGGGTGGGGAATGTGGCTTGGGGTAGAGCCCAAGCCAAATGCAAAGTTTGGATCCCCAACCCATGTGCTTGTGCAGTGGGTTGGCTTGAGAGCAGGGGTCTGTGAGTCGCATGGGTGGCCATGAAGGCCGAGTGTTGGAGCGACTGCAGACAGAAACCCTGAGGGTTGGCGATTACCCCCAACAGAATAAAATTGCCAATCCCAGAGCTAGTGCATCCTGGGGGTGGATGCGGTGTGTGCCTTGTAGCCGAGACTACAGCCAGAGAAGGCCAGGAAGCCTGACGGCTCCTGGTGTGATATAGCAGATGCCGTGTGTGATTTCCCCTCCCTCGCATGAGCAGTGCCTTCGGCAGCAGATTTGGTGGCTCATCTGCTGGTACCAATAATTGTCTTTTGCACTTGGTTGGTGCCCTGCCTGGACTTATTTGTGTTCTGTTGTATTTTGTTATGTTGTATTTTGTTATTTGATGTATTTGCTTTTGTGGGCCATGGCTGCATTGTTTGTTTGCTTAGAAAATTGTGTATATATGTATAGACTGTATGGCAGAAAACCCTGAGGGGGTGGACTGTAGGGTAAAGAAAATATCAGGCTTTTCTGCCCTTCCGCCATCAGGATAGATGATGGATCCTTGTCCTGAATGCATGCCTGATGGTGGGCACCTGGAATAGGGTGTGGGCATAGGTAGATGGGATTCAGCTGAGCTAAGACTGTGCTTTTAAGGGCGGCGTCACGGGGGGACGCCAGCAGCACCAGCACCAGCAGCAGCAGCAGCCGCCGCAGCCGAGAAGCAGCAGAACGAACGCTAGAGAGCCCAGATAGAGTGAGGACTTGCTGGGGGCTGGGAGGCCTGCCAGCCTCCCAGCCCCCAGCCAGCACCCCTGCCTGCCATATGCCTGGTGAACCCCAAATAAAAAACCTGCAAAACTACTGAGGACTCTGACTCCTCCTTTACCCGATCTGCATGGGATCAGAAAACCTGCCTTGTGCCCTGTCCTGCCCCTTACAATGAGCTAGAAGAGCCAAGAAGTAAAACCTGGTGTCCTGATGTCCCATCCAAATATTTTTCTACAGCCCATTAGGGTCTGTCGCGTCCATGATGCTAAGGAAAGGCCTTTAGATTGCATTTCTGTGCTGGAAATAGGCTTCAGTTGTCATGGGATAAGCTTGAATGGAAGAATCAGTTTCCTGGGTAGTCATATCACAGCCTTTCGACTCTTTCAGTGTCCCTGGGTTGAACCTCTTAGTCATCTTTTGATGATACCCTGTTCAGTAAACCCAGGAGAGGCCATTAGATTCCATTTCTGTGCTGGACAGAATGGGTTTCTGCTGTCGAGGGTGAGCTTAACCAGAACACATGCTCCTGTGTAGTAACACCCAAGCCTGTTGACTCTCTGTGCCCTGGCTTGAATCCTTTTAGTCTTCTGAACTGGTCCCTCCTCTGGCCCATAGAAGTGCAGCTGAATGTTTACTGTGATGGGCACTGAGCTGAGCACTTTACAAATGCTCTTTTGTCTCCTTTGAACCTCACAATAACCTATGGGATTGTGGGTCTGCTAATCCTAAGCGGCCTGTTCGGCCACCATTTTGTTATCTACAGTTCTAAATCCTAAGCAAGGTCAGAACGGCCTGGTCAGTTAGGTACAGGAGCCCAACCCTGCAAGGTGCCTTCAAATTAATCAAGAGCACAAAGCTGGATCACGCTGGGAAGGCTGTGCATCACGAGGTGTGATTGGGAAAGCCTGGGGTGGGGGGTAGGGCTGATGACCGGGAATGGGTAGGAGGGATGATGACCGATGCATGAAATGTACTCCTGACTTACACAACTCGAGGTATGATCGGGAACACGGGGAGGGGGGCAAGGACCGATGTATAACAAGGGACCCCAGAGGCTGATCAGTGGAAAGCCTTGTTGATAAGATTGAGACCATGGCTGGGGAACTAGGGCTTGATCTCAATTATAATACCGAATCATCAAGCAGATGAGAAATGCCTGGAGAGCAGACTCACACTCCCTGATAATATAGATGTCAGCACATTTTCTAGTTACTTTCTTCCCCTTTTCCTTTTTTTCCTCCTTCCTCTCACAACTGATGCTGTAATTCTTCTATCAATAAAAAGGCCAGGATCTTGCTCTTCAGCAGCATCCTGCATTGTGCAGCCTACTCCAGAACTCCCGTTTCTTTATCAGTGCGGTGCTGCCCGATGCAACATGGGATGAAGACGACCATCACACCCAACCTGCACTTGTGGAAATGCAGGCTTCCCAAGATTAACTAGCCTGTCACGTCCATAGACTCTGAGCGGAAGAGAGGGGGCTTGATTCCAAACAGAGATCTGAAACTGGTTCCCTTTCTTTCCTCATCACCACAGTTCAGTCTTTGGCTTCGATGCCTGCGCCTCACCATTGCCATCCTCTTTTCCCACTTGCTTCTCTGATGTCTTCACCTTTCTCCCATTAATGCTTATCTCCCCAAACTGTGATTTCCCTTTGTCAGAAAGAGTTTTTCACATAGCAACTGATTCTCCAGTTCTCTGCAGACAGCAGTTCTGACCATATCCACCAGGGGTGATCAGATCCCTTAAGTTAAAGGGCTCAGTGCCACAAGACCAGGCCCTGGGCACCGGATGCAAGTCCAGGTCACCTATATTCTGATCAACCTCTCCCTCCCTGACTTGATAATTTGATAGAATGACTCACAGACTCAGGAAAGTGTTTAGTTACTATTACTAGTTTATTATGAAGGATAAAAATCAGAAACAGCCAAATGGAAGCTAAGTGTAGGACAAGGTTTGCAGGGAGCAGGAGGGAAATAGCTTCCATGCCTCTCTGGCCGAGCCACGCTCCCAGCACCTTGAAGTATTCATCAACCCAGTCATTTAGGATTCTTTTGTTACATAGACAATTGATCAAATCACTGGTTATTGGCGATTAACGCAATCGCCTCCAAGACTGAAATCTCCAGCCTTCTAATGATGGCTTTTTCTTTCTTCACCAGTCCTCATTCAAAAAATTATCTTGGGATTCTCAGTCATCAGTTATCTCATTAGCATAAAAAAGACACTCTTATTTACCCAGGAAATTCTAAGAGTTTTGGCTCCTGAGTGCCAGAGGGACAAAGATCAAGTATTTATTTT